AGAGAGAGAGAGAGAGAGAGAGAGAGAGAGAGAGAGAGAGAGAGAGAGAGAGAGAGAGAAAGAGGCGAGATAGGCTGTGCTGGTGGGAATGACTTGTAACATTCCTACTCGATCTCACTATCGAGCTCATGTCACCATCTCGAAAGGGTGCAGATATTCGACTTTGCCTCCACTTACGTGCTTGTACGAACGCATTGGTTATAGTGTAAGGATGCCATAGCGTGACAGTGATAGGGTGTTACATATGATTGTCAGAGGTACACAAACAACAGCCAACCGTTGGTGGCTTTTCGAGACTCGAAGGCGATAGGGATGGTTCATCACGATTCTCCTGTGGTGCTATTGGCCTGAACGGACGATGTTCATTCCCCGTTCGGAAATATGTGAAAGCTAAACGGTCGTACAAATAAAAAACAATAAAATACTTGAAAACGAACAAAATCATAAAATAGTACTTTTTCCCTTTTTTTTTGGGGGGGGGGGGGAAGAGGAGGGGAACGATAATGCAATTATTGGAAAACTGACACACCGGTGACGTTGGTGTCCACAAATAACAGTTTTGACCGCCTCTTGCCAACTGGTGTATCCGGTAGGCCGCGAATAACAGGTAGCGCAATCAAAATTTGACGATGACAGCCTACCAGTAGGCGGAGTTCTTTTGCATCAAGGGGGGTGACGACTTAAGACAGTGACTCTCGAACTATATTCCTATTGCCATTAATCACAATCACTAATCACAGCCTGATGACGAGACCCGTATGTTTATACTCGCATTTAACATCACGCACCAGTCATACATATAACCAAAATCTTGGACGGCTGTGGACATATTGCCCTAATCAAATAGCGAACTCATTATTAGTTAATATTTTATGTTACTGTACCAAAGTTTTTACCCACACATATCAATTGACATGTTTTCTATGTCATCAACCTACCAACGACAAAAGTTCGTTAATTGAGGACCCCAATAGGCAGGCGAGATCCTCGAGTAGTCGCACATTCAACGTGCGACCAAATGTGGCCTTTTTGTTGGCGAGGGCAACCAACATTTGATTGGCAATGGGTTCTGTTAGCCATAACCGACCTAGTCATAAAAGTAAACAAAATATAAAAAAAAACAAAAATATCAAATATGACCAAACAAAAATAAACAGAAACAACACAAATAAAACAGGGCCTTCGAGTGTGGAGACCTTGCGCCATCGCGCCAAGCCGTTGATTGTTCAACTGACCCATACGATCGATGACAATCCAGTCACCTTTCATGCGTCACAATAATACGCGTCCACACACACCTCCTAGCCTAACTGTATTCATCCTAACTGTCTCGAGCCCAACGGCTTGAGCACGAGTTGCGCAAAAGAGTGTGACATTGTCTCAAGTAGCGTTGTAGACACACCTCGTGCGACTTGCATAAATGCGGGCAGACAAATACCTTATAATGGTTTGCTCCGTATTTAGTCCGACAACGCCGTCGGAAGCACTGGCTAGGGCGGCGACGAGAGTCATGGTGAGGGTCAAAAGTTTGCTAAGCTGGGAGACAAACGTTGCAGAGGAGAGGGCATGAATCCGGACGGCGATGCTGGCGTAGTGGACAACTGCTGTATGCCTCTGGTGGAGTCTCGATGGTAAACTTTAAAAGATGGGCTTGGTTCTCGAGCGAGAGCTTGAGACGAAAGGACTGGAACCATAGGAGGAAGGTTCATGTGATATGACCCAGGGGTGCGGGTAGGATAAAGGTAGAAATGTCAGCAGGTATTTGGGAATCCAGGTTGGTGGCGCCATAGACCGACAGAGGTGGCCAGCTGAAGCTCGAGGTCAACAATACGTGCATAAAAGGAGTGGGATGGAGGACCGGGGAGGAGGGGGTGCAAAATGACAATCATCCACAAGCATGCCAAAGAATGCAACGAAAACGATAAGAATGGTACCCTCAGAGGAGGTGGGCAAGGATGCTGATGACGATGGTGCAGAACAGACAACTCTGGACACAGGTATCCACTAGAAGGATTGAGAGTGGGACGAAGAGGGATCGATGGATGTGGTCTGACGAGGGGAGCCCACAGGGGTGGCAACTGGCTCCAAGCGAGTGATATGGTCAAACAACCGAGTGAGGTGGTCCTGCTTGGTGTAGAGATTCGCCAGGACTGAACGAGGAGGATCTGACGATGGGAGCCCACAGGGGTGGCAACTGGCTCCAAGCGACTGATATGGTCTGACAATTGAGTGAGGTGGTCCTGCTGGGTGTTCCCAGCCCGTCAGGGTTGCGTTCCCTCCCCCCTGAAACTTTTCAACGTCGGTGGTCGTTCGGGGGGGTGAGCATTTTGAGGTTTCGGGGCTTAGCAAGGGGCGGGGCATGCGAAGGACCAATAGCTGCCCATAGCAGGCCGAGGAGGCCGCTCCTTGAGTTTTGAACATTCCGAAATCGAAACGGTGTGGGTCCACTTTTCTCAAATAGAAGAGCAGTTCGGATAGAACACGGGCACGTTGTGTTCGA